AACCGCATGCCTTCAAATGTAACGAATAATGACTCGCCTATCCAACGCATGTTCGGTATCGCTCCTTCTTACACTCATCTTCGGATTTTTGGATGCGAGTGTTACCCACTCAATCCGCCCACTCAACGCAACAAACTATCGCAGACATCCTCTCCGTGCACCTTTCTTGGATATTCCGATACTATGAAAGGCTATAAATGCCTCAATCAGGTAACAAATAAAACAATAGTATCGAGACACGTCAAATTTAACGAGTTCTCTTTTCCGTTTCTAAACAGGCACCAGCTCGATTCAAATACAGCATCTCTGGATCTCCCGCCATCACTACTGCTTCCCTATCCGATGGCTTATCAGGGACAAGCAGTGCCTCAATTCAAACATCTGTCACAGGAGCCGGTCAAATTACCAAACCCGACGTTCACTAATTCCGAACCTATTACTCCTCAACCAGACCTGGCTCGGCCATGCACTAAACCTTCTCAAATCCATCCCATGATCACTCGGACTAAGATAGGATCACTAAAACCTGTCACCAGACTTAATTTACTTCATCAAGAACAACCACACACCGACCCGACGTCTTACACCGAAGCAAGCAAGAAGTTCGAATGGCGGAAAGCCATGGCCGAAGAATTCTTTGCTCTTCAACGACAAGGAACGTGGACGTTGGTACCTCATCCTATCAACAAACCAGTTCTCGGCTCAAAATGGACATACCGAACCAAGCACTCATCAGACGGTTCTATAGCCCGTTTCAAAGCTCGACTCGTTGCACTTGGAAATCAACAAGAACATGGGATTGACTACTTCAATACGTTCAGTCCCGTAGCAAAGCTTCCAACAATCCGAATTCTCTTCGCTATAGCTCTATTTCACAAATGGCCGGTTCATCAGCTCGACGTGGCAAATGCTTTCCTTCACGGCGATATCACCGAAACCGTCTTTATGCGGCAGCCCAAAGGATTTGAAGATACAACTAATCCTGACCATGTTTGCCGGTTGAACAAAGCTATCTACGGCCTTCGTCAAGCTCCGCGGCAGTGGTATACAACCTTCACAACTTTTCTCACTCAACTCGGCTTCACACATAGCCAAGCAGACCCTTCTCTCCTTACATTCCGGCAAAACAACATTGAAATGTATCTGCTCGTCTATGTCGACGATATTCTATTGACCGGAAACAACTCTCAAGCTATTACAAAACTCACGACTCAACTCAATTCGCGCTTCACTATGAAAAATCTTGGTATCGCTCACCAATTTCTCGGCATCAAAATCGACACTCTTCCAGATAAGTATATTCTGTCTCAATCCGCTTACGCTCTCTCCATAGTTCAAATGGCCGGGTTGCAACGTTGCAATTCGGTCTCTAACCCATCCTCTACAAAACTCCCAGCGGCGAAGTCAGACAGCATACAATCGTTCGACGCTTCTCTGTATCGCAAGCTCATTGGATCATTGCAATATCTGACGTTAACGAGACCGGACATAGCTTATGCTGTCAACTCGCTTTCTCAACATATGCACGATCCGTCCGATTCTCACTCTTCTCAACTCAAGAAATTACTGCGATACATCAACGGAACGCTTGATTTTGGCTTGCCGATCGTTCGATCGGACCTTCGGCTTCGCACATTCTCCGATGCCGATTGGGCCTCCGATCCAGTCTCCCGAAAATCCACCTCAGGTTTTTGTACATTTCTCGGCAACACCATCGTGTCCTGGACAGTGAAAAAGCAAACCACCGTTTCTAGATCGTCCACCGAATCCGAATATAGAGCTTTGGCCTCCGCAACAGCCGACACCATTTGGATTCGGCGTCTCCTAGCAGATTTCGGTATCAATCATGACTCACCGGTGGATATCTTTTGTGACAACATATCTACAATTGCTCTAGCCAACAATCCAGTCTTTCATGCTCGAACCAAGCATATTGAAATCGATCATCGGTTTGTTAGAGATCACATTCAAAAACAGGACATTCGATTGCTACCTATTAGCACGATTGATCAGATTGCGGATATACTTACTAAACCACTAACGACTGCTCGATTTAAACTTCTCCGATCCAAACTCACAATTGCACCCAATTGTCAGTTTGAGGGGGAATGTTAGCTATAGGTTAATTGTAATATATTAAAAACGATATTAGGCTCTCTTAGGTAAACCGGGCGTACAACCCGTGAGCCATTATATATATGCTTGTATTCCTGTTATCTCAACATAATAGAAAATATTATTTCTCTTCTCTTTTACTGTTCTTCATCTTCTTCAGAAACCCGTCTTAAACGAAGCTTAAGGTTTCGTTTGGGACAACTTTCTTTTTGCTTCTTAAAGTAGCTTTTTAGGTAAAAAATAAAAATTTTTTACCTAGAAAGCTGCTTTATGAAGCAGTAAGAAAGCCGTCCCAAACGAAACCTAAGTAAACCTTAAAGAAAACATGTGCAACTTTATATGAGTAAATATATAGAAAGCCAAATTCAGTTTAGAGGCAAATAATACTGTAAATCTAATCACACAAAATTTCAGCATAACTTTGGAAGAACAGCCTAAACTTAAGTACCAGAAGCTTGAGTATGAATTTACATAGAAATAAATCATTTTAGGGGGTGAATTCAAGGGAAAACAGAAAACTAATAATCTGCAGCTTCTGGAATTGAAAATTTAAGCTGCATTTTAGAAAGTAGTATGGTGATTATTGCCCAAACCAAATCTAGATTACAGAAAAAGGCAACACTACAATATGTGGTAACTTTATTCTAGCTCGGCTCATTTATACTCTTATTGGAGATACTCTGTTATAAACTACAGAAAAATACACTCTCTGTTATGTTATAAGGACTCTAAATGTACTATTTAGACCCCATTTGCCTGATGTAGATGTGGGAGAAATTTTTGCCTCATTTATTGAAAGCAGGTGTGGGAGGTTAAGTAACATTATAAGTGCTCTTTTGACCCCACATACCTGATGCAGATGTGAGAGAGATTCTAGCTCCACTTGCTATATGTAGGTATGAGATGTAAAGGGAGGCATAAGTTGAAGTGAAGATATAAGCAAACGTCATGACATATGCATTATAATCATTGCATTTTCTATGTTAATATTTTAATGAATTGAAACTAAGAAATGTTTTAAAATATATATTAATAAACTCTAAAACTCTGCATGAATTCTGTTCGGAAAATGAAAGTGAAAGTGATATGCAAGTGAACCTCTGAAAATATGTATTATGTACAACATCTGAAAATTTCTATGAAAGTACTTATGTGGTATTGAAAGTACAAATGTTCACTCTAATAACTCTAAAATCAAGTAAGTTCAGGTTTTGCTTGTGCTTTAATTATTTTGTAAGTTGTAATGTTTTCCTTTAATTATTTCCTTTTAAATATTTGTATTTTATATTGAAATCTGGGGGGGGGGGGGTTCTCTAAGCTTGGAGTAAAAGGCATCAATTTTGTAATCCAATTTTATTATTTTGATTTATAGATAGTTATAAGCAGGATTATTATATTTATTCTTTGATGGAATTAAAGTTGATTATATTGCTTTTATGTTTTAGGAAATGTAGTAGCTCTGATTGTTTATTATTGATAGATGAGTTAATTAATTATAGAGTTAAGAACGTCGTATTCTTCTATTAGGTTATAGGGCATCACACTTTATTTTTCCAAAAGAATCAAGTTCAAGATTTTGTAATTAGAAATCAATTTTCTTTATTAAAGGATATTGAAGGCCTTTTGAAAACAAAAGGCAAAGTATTTTACTTGATTTTGCAGTTGATTATTTGATAACAAACTCCATTGTTGAGAGAGAATAAAAATTAAAAAAAAAATCACCTTTACTGTTATTGTAATAATTCATCAAGAGATAAAATTTTTGTTAACTCTAATTTTGGTGACAAGAATGATCAAACCTTTAAAGATAGGACTTATGACCCAACCTCATAACTAGGGCGACCCACTCAAAGACATGTAGTTTTACACACATTAATGTGGATCAAATTTAAGTTTTTTTTATTGCTTTCAATCTGCACAATATTCTCTAACTTTAAATTTAAGTTTTGAACACATTTTCATAGCACAAGTGAAGCTTTGCTGATTTTTTATTTTATTGAAAAATTTATGAATTTTTCAAAAATGATTGTACACCTTCCAAAATAAAAATTTGGAGTATATAGTTCTTTTGTAAAGCACGCATAAAACATTACCATAATTTTGAATTTTGAAAAAATTTTAAATTCCTCAGAATGTGTGAGATAGTTTGCCTCTTGATAATTGATACTTTTTTGGAGAAACTGGGTGAATTATTATGTCCGGTCACCGGACATCCGAACACCAATCCAGATGCGCCATGTCACATGAATACACTGGGTCCCGATGTATTTTGGTGACGTGGCGCATCTAGATTGGTGTCCAGACGAATCCGGACACCGGACGTAATAATTTGCTGAGAAACTGTGTGCTTGCAAGAATGTGCATTAGACGACTGACACATCTCTTAAGTTTCGTTTGAGACGACTTTTTTACAACTGTTTAAAGCGGTTTCTTAAAACAAAATTTTAAAATTTTTATGCTAGAAAGCCGCTTTCAGAAGCATTAGCCATCCCAAATGAAGCGTCAAGCTCAAGCATACTTTTCAAACTAATTTTATGATTTTCATGAGATATTACATGCTTCATAAGCATCTTGATTGGAACATAACACATTGCTATATTCAACCCTTTCTTTGAGTTTACAAAACAATACACATCTATTTACTTGGGCTTCGTTTGAGATGGCTTTCTCACCGCTTCTTAAAATAGCTTTTTAGTATAAAAATTTCAAATGAAGCCTTATTCTACAATAAGTACACAATTGTGCCATCTTTTATGCTGACATTGGTATACAGAAGTTGGATCGAGTTATTCTGAAGAATTTGTTACATTTTCGTCAAAATTATTTCATAAGGAATCTAGCCAAAAATAAAACGAAAAATTTTTCCACAACATTCACAGAACTCAGATAAAAAGATAGGGCTATCAGTATCACACATAGATGTGAAAAAAATGATAGTATACACTACATAATATGTCTCAAAGGCATATAGAGCTAGTTAGGAATCTGTACATCTCAACACATTACAGGGTAGAATTATAGCAAAACTCTCCATTTACACTATCATCAAAGAATGGCTGTATTCAACAAGCCTCCAACAATTAAGTTGACAAATGGTACAGTTAGAAAACAAATTATGCAGAAAAAAGTTGGGTCAGGAGCTCCTTAGTCAAGTGCTAAGTCTACTAAAAAGTGATTAATCATATAATTTTGTTAACAATAAGCGCTTTTCGAGCTTGCGTTAGCAGCTCATGGTGAGATTTTCCTTCAGAAGCTCCAGATCCAATTTTTTTTAAGGATTTATGTAACAAGAATATTTTCATAACTGTTGCAGCTCCAAAAATGCAGAATTTGACTTCAAAGCCTTTTTGGCAAGTTTGCAGATATCTTCTCTTGAAGACTCCTTTGATATACGAAGAAGCTGCTTAATTCCTCCACTCTCAATGACATCAAAGGCATTTTCCACTGCATCATAATACACAACATTGATATCTTTTCTTCTCAAAACTGAAAATATCAAACACTGAAAGTTTCTGAAGGTAATCAAAAATCCTAAATGGCACAGTAAGAATAAAACAGATAAATGGAAGCATATTACATGGAACAACAAGGTAAATAGAATGAATCAGAGTATGATTAATAGTGGGTTCCCAAAAGGATGTGATTTTGGATTTTAATATATATAGAAAAGAAAGATATAATTCAGAAAATGTCTGTTGCTATTCCAAGCAATAAAAATAATTTTCACAATAAAGAAGATAATCAATAGAGTCACAAAAGTACATACCATTTTGAGCCAAATGACACAATGCAAGTTCAATGTGATGTCTTGTTGAATCAGTAAATGTTGTGCAGTTTGCAACCAACCAATCAAGTGCACCATCCTCAATAAGAAGAGACCTTCCTTTCCAGTGTCCTGTAGAAAGTGTAACACATTATTCTTTGGTAACAGGTCAAAAAATGAAGTTGATGTATAGTTCAGAATCATGTAAATGCTAACATTGCATTGTGGTTAAAAATAGGCTACATTGCCAATAGTTACTTGAGGCCTATGATTCAATTGATCATATGTCCAAAAATTTCCATCTTCCTAATTAATTCCCTAGGATTGAAATTATAATACTAAATGTCATCCCATAAAAACTGTGAGCTTTCTCGTTTGAGGTGGCTAGAGCATTTTGTAAAGGTAAGTGTAGAGTTGTTGTGGAGAAAACTTTTTTAAAAGTTGCTATTAGTATCATAATAATTATTTAAAAGTTACTATTGTAAATGAATTTCTCATCACAAATATATTTAAAAATAATAAGAAAGCAGTAGTAAAACAAAAGATAATAGTAATCCGAAATACGAAGCATTTACCCCCCCAACCCCCATCCCCCCGCACGAAAAAAAAAGAGACCCGTAATATCCCTTTTTTATCTCCTCTTTTACACTTACCAAAATCTAATTGCTTTTAAGTTTAGAAAGTGCATCGGGGGTGGGTGGTCAGGTAAAGCCTCTATATTCTTTCTTTTGTGGGCTCACAAAATTCGCACCCCAGCCTCTCTGCGACTCCTTTTTTTCTCTGTGTCGGCGAGGTGAGTTTTAACGAGTTTAGTTTTGAGGTAAATTTTCAGAAGGTAGATTGGGTTTTGAATAAAACATTACCTAGATATTTCGCTCTCATTTTGCGAGGACTTTATGATCTACGTTAAGGTTTCATATAGGCACGAGCCCCTATGGTTAATTACCCCTCCCGATAACAAGAGAGAACTTTCGATTAAGCTAGTCGTCGAATATATACATAGTATCAACGTAAAGTAGCAGCAGAATTTGATCTTTGAAAATTGGAATTTATACCACTGCGCACTTAAAGAGGATGGTGGGGGGAATGTTGATGAACCCGATCTAGATCTCATGGCTCCATCGTCCTGGGTCATCATGGTCCCTAGTCTACTTAGTCAGATGAGGTAGTCGACCCAACTTGACCGAAAGATCTTTGTCGACAGACATGAGTTGCTTTATCTAAGGGTACCTTATAGTTGGCTGAATTAAAAGGAAATATGCATTAAAGTTAATGATTTTGCTAAGGTATGTTCATAGCCATGTTTTCATGCATGAATAACCTCTTGTATATTTGAATCATGAGAGTTTCAAATAAAAGTTAGTATGTCTATATAAAGATTTTTCTAGTTGAAAATATTTTGGAAAGAAGCTCAATTCTTTACATATGGCATACACAGTCTCTTTATGGAAATATTATAACATATATATTGCTATAAAAATATGTAACAGTAAAAGGCAATTATGAATATGAAAATATGAAGTCTACAGAATATCAAATTAAAAAAGTTGACAATTAAATGATATGATACCTGCTTTGCAGGTGGGATAAAATGGACCATAGATATGATACCAGCATAGCAGGTAAGACAAAAATGACCCCTAAAGAGTCAAAAGGGACCAATATATAGTTCAATGACGATAATGACAGGTTTACCTCGAATCCATTGAACATTCTTATGAAAGTTTATCAAATTATTTAGAAGACTAATATTGATATTCTATACAGACTTCAAAAGAATTAAAAGTTAATCATAAATATAATTTTATGATGTTTTGCAAATAATGATAAGTTTATTCAATTATAATTTCAATATTGTGATTTCTTATAATATTGCATTTAAACTGTTATTTAATTTGCATAACTTTATGTGCCTCATAACTCACCAGTTATTTTATACTGGTTGTTGTTAAAGGAAAAGGTAAAGAGAAAGTGAAAACCGATTAGGCACGTGTTGGAAATTTTAGGTTTTGTGTTTAGAATTGTTTGTGATGTCTTCTTATAAGGTATGTAAGCTGTGAAATGTGATAAAATATTATGATTTTCTTAGTGGCTCTGTGAATATTGTTGTGAAATAATTGGAATTATTAGATGCTTCCGTTCATTCATTAGATATAATTGTATGTGGATGTTTTATGCAACTATTCAAATGATATAAAAGTATCATATGTTGAGAATGAATGTTATGTTATTCTGTGGCACTCTATGTTACTAGTAATAGGTATCGTGGGGTGTTACAAAAACTATTGCTTAGTGTCAAGAACTTTGCACTTGAACCATAAACTCTCTCAACAGAGCCAAGCACGAATTTTTATAGCCCACAGATAAGCTTAATTTCTTATGAGCAAACCTGCGGGAGTCAAATCAAAGCATGAAAAAGTGGAGCCAAACTCATCTTTTAACTTTTTTTACCTATTATCATACATGATGAATTTATGATATTTATTTTTTCCTATAGGATCACACAACCCCAATATTGCTAAATCGGTATAAAAAATTTGAGGATTTATTTTTTTGATATGTATATATATTTTTTCTCGGAACTATTGAATCTACACTTCCACTGAATGCCCTATTTTACCGTCGACTAGCACAATGGATGAGGATCCAACAATGATTCAGTAAATGAAATAAAAGGTCAAATGAAACACATCCAAGTATCAAATGCAAATTTGTCTTTTGACAATTAACATAACAATTAATGACAACGCCTTAGCACGGGATATAAAATAAATAATGCATAACAATGCCACTAAGTATTATGAATAAAAACCATTTAAAAAAATAAACAAAACATGACTAAACTGAAAAATAATAACAAATGACTAATATCATAAAGCATATGCTCCGTATTGCATCAGATATAAGTAATAAAAACATTAGTCCTATCAGCATCTTTAAAATGTTCTAAATGTACAAAATACTTAATAAACCTGAAGGTACAACTTTAAATATTAATAAAGCCAAAATATGTTTCTGCTATATTTTTTAGTTTTTTAAAAATATTTTCAAATTATAATCATTATGCGCATCTTTCACAAAAAAAAAAAACTATTTGATCGCTGCAATGTTACAAAACTAGGAATGTGTCAGAATAATCATAGAAACCTAAAACAAAAAATAATATAGATTTTCAACAATGATCTGAGCTCTCTTGAAAAATTACATAAATATAAAATGCTTACAAAAAACTTTAACCAACTTATACTAAAAATGAATGGAGGTTAGATTAGAAATTACTCAAATTAGTATTACGACCCCGATAGAATACAACAAACGACTCATAAGCTCAATAGCCTTACTATTCAGTGAAAAAATGTTCTTGCATGTAACAAAATCTATTCAACCTTCACAAAGATTTTAAAAACAATTTCGTGAGTCAGATATGAGGCTAACACGACACGTCTCCAACATGCTCCAAAAATTGTCCAACTTGATAAATCATATTTGGCATATTTTCTTCAAAAATTAGGTCAAATATGCCCAAGAAATGACGGACACAGCCAAGAAACACAAGTAGGACATGCATAAGTTGTTCCTAGTTGAATAAACATTTTCTTTAGGTTGGATGATCAATGTGGGTGTCCTAATGTCAAAGTTTATTGGGTCCAATGAATGTTACATCAATCTATTCATATTTTGTATTGATAATTTAAAATTCTACACATTTTTTTAGTATTTAGTATTTTATTTAGACATTACAATGATATAATAATGTCTACTAGCTAATGCTAATGTTGGTGTATTATTGAGAATTATGTGCACTTGATGAAATACTAAAATATAATTGTATTTGAACCAACATTCATTTTTCTTTTGTTGATCCTTAAGACTTTTAAGTTATAAATATGGGATTCTACTTCATTGTGTCATGTTTTTTTCTAGAACGCATTGATCATAAAATATTTTTCATTTTCTATTAATATATTATATGAAAATTGTTTCTATTGCATGCCATGTCATAATTTTTATGGTTATTTTGTGTCCACATGTATGAAGTTGTATTATTTCCATATCCAACATTGGTGTTTATGCTTCGTATACGTAGAAATAAGTCACTTGCATATCCGACAAATATGTTAATTTTAAAATATTCATAAGAAAAATGTTATTGTGAAATATTTTTGCTAAGCAACCACTGCAGATTGACTATAGGAGCACAGATCAACCACCAGTTGCAGCAAAGAAACAGTCAAGGAATTTTCAGAAAGTTTTAGTTACAGTATCCAGCACAACGAAGATACATATATGAGTTCAAATAAAAATAGGTACATCAACTAGAGGGATTGGTGTAATCATACTGTAAAAAAGATTCGACAAGATGAAAGAGAGACTAACCTTGATTAATACTGCGAGATTCACATTTTGCAAAGTTTGCAATTCCTCGAGCAACTTGAGATATGACATTGTTATGCCTAGATCTGACCATAGCCAATAGTGCTTTAATGCCACCATCTTCTTTCAGCAACATGTGTAACCTTTCTGTAAATAGAAAACATAAAAGAAATAAAACATTTTAATACAGTTCTTTATTTTTTCATATATTGTAAATTTTAGTTCCAAGTCTGAATTAACCTTTACGAAGATAGAAAATTTATGGAATTTTTAGTTCTCACTAATAAACGAACTACAACATCAAGCATGCTTTTGCATCTTCTAATTTTAGTTCATAAAAATGAATAAATATCAAGTAAATAACTGATAAAAATTTAGGCAGCTACTGAAACAATTATGTTGATGACAAGCTTTTACTATGTTGTCTGAAATAAAATCATTACATTCACACGTTGAACTACAAGCTATATAAGTCATTCTGATGTAGAACGGGTATGGGCCTGAAACTTCAGGGCAGCGATTTGAAGACCTTCCGGAGGTCGGTTAGTCACTTCTTGTGGTTGACGTCCTCTAGGACAGTCACTAGAAACCCAAGACAACAGTTTGAACCTTTGAAAATTTCTGGAAAGCAAATTGGGCTGTTCCGACGAGCTGGATAGCAATGTAATTGGCAACAAAGTTCTGGACAGCAAGATTATTTGTTGTAAAGAGAAATTCTGGACAGCTCCTGAAGGGGCTTAGGGCAGGGGGCGGCTGGATTCCTTGTACTGGGAGCTCCGGACAGTAGATCTCTTTGCCCAGAAAATCTAGACTGCACCTTGTAGATTAGCAGGTAGTGGAGAGAAGAGTTCTGGATCGAGAGATGTGGGTGTTTAGGGCTTGGGAAACTATAGAGGGGACGATGGCTTGAATGGGGTCTAGGGCAAAGGGAGGGAGAATTCAAAGCTTGACTAATCAAGATACTTAAATGAGGGAAGAATATTTATTCATAGTCTACGTGAATTTCAAATAGCTTTGATTCAAATAACCTTCCTAAAATAGACCGTGGCAGATTAGGAAAAATATTTCAATTCAAACATAAAGAATTTAGATTTCCAGAACTTTCATATTGAGGTTAAACCCAATAAGGAAAGTAATGCCCAAGCAATTAAGGTGATTGGGGACATAAATCTGAAAATTAATTTCAGATTTATGTTGATTGAGAACCTCTCCTAAATTAGAGGGGACTCATTTAAGAGAGGATTTAAATTCAAATCTTTGAATTTTGAATTTTAAATCTCCTCATAAATTGGTGGGCTAAATTAGGAAAGATTTTATGATGGAATTGAATTCAGATTTTGGGAGCTATGGGGGGAAAGGGGGCCGGTGATTGTGGTGGTGCCTAGGGGACGACGGGTGGGGAAGTTTGGGTGCCGGCGGGTGGGGAATTTGGGGAGGTGGAGCCGACGGGTGTAGGGAGATGGGGAAGGGAAAAACAAATGCCAGGAGAAATAAGAGAAAAAAAATGGAAAATATAGGGAGCTACAAACCTTAAGTATTTCATCCTCAAGAACTCACAAAGAGATCTTGTGAATCTCGGAACTCACAAAGAGATCATTTCCTTCTCAAGAACTCACAAAGAGATCTTGGGAACGTCGGAACTCACAAAGAGATCCTTCCTCCTCAAGAACTCACAAAGAGATCTTGGGAATCTTGGACATTCAATATGCTCAAGAAGACAAAAAGGTGTGCATGCAAAAGTTTTCTAAGCACATGTACCGTATAAAAACCATAATTGGTTTTCAAAAACTTAAGCAGAAGAAAAAGTTCCTACAAATAAATTAACTGCCACAAATGATTTATCCATCTATTATCAGTCTGCCTAACATATTCAATCTGCTGAATTTTATAAGGCTATACCATCACCGAGTAACACAATTAAAAACAATAAAATTTTATTTTCCTTACAACTATGTACCTGAATGCTAGCACTTTTAATTAATCCGGACACCAATCCAAAATCAAGATTCAAGCTATCACCTCAGTGTGTAACAAAACCCTCACTCTTGCTCTGCATCCACTCTCATGGTTCGATGCTCACAGAAATGGTGTAATACCCAATTTTTGCCTAAGGTAAAGTGCCAAATTGCCCCAATTCAATCATACACCAAATAGCAATGTTCACAAAACTTCTCAAAAAGAACTCCATTGTATTATACTCATCAAATGTATCAACTGGTATAGAAAAGCATATGTCGAATTGCAAAAGAGCAGAAGTTATGAAATTAATTCCATTTGGAATTACTTTCCCAACATTTTAATTCAATTCACTGTTCACTCATAAATATCTTGTAGCAGGGTTCTCAAATTTCAGCATAGGCACTTAATGGGCAGGCATTGACAGGTTCAGAGGGTAATTAGGTAAAAAAACTGCTTCACTTGAGATCATTTAGGCTTCGTTTGGGACATCTTTCGTTATGCATCTTAAAACGTCTTTTTAGTACCAATTTTTTTAATTTTTTACAAGAAAGTTGCTTGAAAGAAAATCGTCCCAAACGAAGCCTTAATCTTTCCCTGCTGCCAAACTCCTCACATTTCCCTACACAGGCTGGAGCTCGGGCAAGGAGGCTGGGAGAACTGGCGTCGGGAGTTGGACAAGGGTATAGGAGAAATAAGATAGGATGATATTAAGGAAGAAGAGAAACCGAAAGAGAAAAAATATAAGACAATTTAGTATTTTGTGTATATACTTCTTTTGGATGAAGTTTCTAGTGTATCCAATTTTTATTTAGGCTTCAAGCAATATACAAGGAGGGGAAATTTTTGAAAACTTAAACTGTGTATAAGGAAAGGGAATCTAGAGGTTAAGTCATACTGGAATAAATTAGGCTATATGTATATTGTTCGGTAAGAAATTTATATGAATTGTCAAATTAAGGAATTTGGGTATCCGAATTGAAGTGGCAAATGATTGCGGTGATAAGATCAGCAAATTTTCTAATTTAGGTCACAACTTTTAGACCTATGAATGTACGGTTGCCTTGGAATTAAAGTGTGATATGTAACATAAATTTTCTTCCTATTGTAAATGTGCGCTCACAATTTAGTCATACATGAATAATCATATTTTGTTATTATATATTTTGAAATAAAAAACATTTGATATGTACAGTCTTTTTTTATACATGTATGATATTTCCTGCTTATTTTAAATCAAAATATGATTTGCATTATAGTTATAAAGTATCAATGAAATGTTTGGAATGCTTCCGCTTGTTGATAAATGTTTTGATGTCTTTCATGAACATTCTATGCGGATTTGATGAATTATAAAAAATATAAGATGAATTATATGAATTCCTCTGTTGCGACCAACGTCGATTGGTAAAGTTCAATGTGGGGCATAACACATTGGGTGCCCATGCATCCTCATTCAAAATTCCTCCTAATGCAACAAACTTGGCACGCTCATTCAACACTATTGCACCCTACTCTTGTCTATGGGGCATGTTTGGGTCTTTCTCGCCTCGTGCTCAGGAGCAGTGCTCAGTCGTTGATTCAACGGACCTTCTTTATCTCTGTCCTGCTTAAGACTTCAACCATAATGTACAAAAATTCATGAACAATTTTCTCCGTTTTAAGTAACTTATCCATTTCCTCCCCAAAAAATATTTTACACTTGTTTCTACATCCTTATCAGCCATTATAAGCATGAATTCACTCCCCTCAATCCTTACCCATTCTCCTCCCACCCATATCTTTACTTTGATTTCCAAATCAGAATGCATTATTTAAGACTGTTCCGCTAGTAGAAGCTTCAGGTAGGCTGAGATTTATGTTTAATCAACTTATTTTGCTCGCATTGAAGAGAAACAGAATTTCAGACAACTATTTCACGTTTGCATTTGACCACTGATATTTCACATTTGCAGTCGAACACTGATATTGTCAAATATTGACTTCATGAAAAAATACATTAGAATTTCGGCTCAAAAGTTACATGATTACTAAGATAATTACCTATTGATTAAAATGCAATTTCAGTTATTTCTATGAAGAAAAACTTCTCATCCTTGTTTAAATGATATTAAGTAGCACTTTTTATGCTATGTAAACATGGTTAGTTAGTTAGGACTACATGTACACCGATTATAAAATTCCTTCTTTCTGATACATCGCCCACCTTTATCTAATGCATCCTCCAACTAGCTGCCCGAATTGAATCGCATAAGGAATTTCAAACAACCCTACTCTCATCTCAAACTGATTTGCTCTACTTATAGTAGTGTTTATCTCAGGCACCTCAAATTTTACCAAAACCTTCAAGGATTGATTGAAACAGTAGTTTTTTTTAACTAAGATATTCGCAGAGAGTCCCTTCTGCAACCAACATACTTCCATATCACTGTAATTTTTCATACAAAAAAACAGCACCATCATTGGAGATTTACATTTTGGTATACTATACTGTTTTACCGTTTAGCATATCATATTATTTGGAGATTTATGACATCTAACAAAATTTGGAATTCACTTCAGCAGAGAATACTGACAAAAAAATTAGTATTTCCTGCACATGATGACATTATTTTAACATCCAAGTTTCTTTACAGAAAAGATGTTCATTTATTATTCATAATCACCATCATTGGCCTTATCTTAGTTATTCAAAGAAAATTTTGTCTATACTTGCATTAATTATTTCTTGACAAAAATCTATTACTAATATACTGCACTTGTAAAAGATATATTATGTGCAATATCTATCTTTTACCATTTCCGCATAAATTTGCTATTGCTCCAGCAACCATCCGAAGTGTTTGTGGATCATCAGACTGAGAGGCCATATTTGTTAAAAGACGAGCTCCCCCTTTACAAATAATCAGATCTTGATTAAGCCCTGCAAAGCAAACAAAATATACATGAAAAATCAACAATATATCTAATGAAATGATGTACTACAGGCCAAAACAATGAAACTAAGGATTAAGAACATTGTTATAAGGGAAACTACAAGGTGTTCTAGATTTAAAACGAAATTGCAACTAATTTATAGATACTAAATATACAAGCAATAGGATTAGGTCAAAAAAAAAAAAACATATCCAACTGCATAGGAAAGCTTATAAAAAGTTAAAAAAACAACGCTGAAAGCATAAATATCACCAATAAAGCCTAAAATCAGTTTAGTTTACCACTTCAAAAATGACAAATAACTCAAAACTGACCTAGAAGCTGGTTTTCGTTTTTTTAATAACGTATGCCCCTGCCTTTGCAAGAAGATAACGCCTCTACTACAGTATTTTTTTTTATTTGCAATAAAATCAAGGAGCAATTGGTTAAAGAGTTAATCTAACATTTAAAAAAATATCCTTACTCAAAAGAGGCGCCAATTTGGTGTTATTAGCAAAGTTAAAATCCATGATTTCTTCAGTAAGTCTGCAAAAAGTGTAAAGCAAAGAGAAAAGGAATTTCTTTTTTTTTTTAATAAATCCAACGAAATATGAAGTACAAGATCGAAAAAGTTATCCCAAAGTTGGTGCAAAGCCCCAACTGAACTAAGGAAAAGTTGTTGTAAATAAGTCCACCAAAGCATCAAGTATTGGACCGACAACTCTCCACTAATGACTTAATATAAGCCCCAGGGACTGGGACCGACATGCATTCTTCACTATTATGCTGAAACAGAAAGCATAGGATAAAAGGTATGCACATTTTCTAATAATTCAATGTAGAGAATTCAGGTTAATACCTACATTAAGCCCACCACACAAAGCATAGAACAAAATAAATCCCAAATCTCAAAAAAAGCTAAAAATAGACCTTCACCAGGTCAGCCAAAGTATAAAACATAGACAAAGGAAATACTCATCTTACTTGATAAGTCAACAAAGACAATATGCGTCAATTCCTTCATCCATCCCATTAAAAAAGAAAGGTATGACAGAAGGAAATTCAAATTGCAAAATTAAAAAAAAAAATGAATGATGTTATCATCATCACTAAGTCCATCAAGCATAAAACATCAACTCTTGACAACCTTTATAAGCTTAACAAACTATCATAGCCAAAACAAAAGAAATTCAATCTCTGCACCCAACCCTTAGAGTCAGACTCATTTCTATTCAAAGGGAATCACCAGGGTAAAACAAATTTTCAAGACAAGATGCAACATTAACTAATACATAATTTTTGAAAGAGCACAAGCTAAAATGCAATTCACTTCTTACACTGACATTCGTGAATACTTCTTAAGGTCAGCAAAGAACTCAAAGCATAACAGCCAAGCACACTTTTGAAGAGCAGCAAAGTCAAACTCTTAGCGTCCATCCAAAATAGGCATTTAAAGATCCACATAATCAACCAATATGAATCATGCATGGTCTATACAAGCCATGCGTCAAATTTGTTGGAGAGCATTTATTGACCTAAATATGTATCTCACGACCGATTCGATCAAATATGATGAGAATGGTGGTCAACTAATACGACGTTGGAAGAATTTGGTTTGAAATGCCTCCAGTGTGATCGAAATCACTTTTACTTTCCCCATTCACCAAAAAAGATTGTGTTAGGAAGAATTATATTAGAGTTATTCTGTAATTATTTGTTTCTATATTAAGATATCTCGTATAAATCTATAAATAAGGAAAAAATCATGGAATAAAACTAAGTTTTTTCCTTCTCAACCCTCTTATTTTCTAACATGGTATCAGAGCCACGATCTGTCGCCATTTCTTGTAAAAGGAAGCCGGCCTTCATTGCCGCTCCTATTGCCGAATCGATGAAGAAAATAGGGCTGCCTTCATTGCCGCTGAAGAGCTTTCCTTTCGGTTCCTTGTGCGTACGCAAGCAAGAGGCGGAGAAAGGACTTCTGTATGACGCCACTAGACGCGTGAAGACTCGCGAAAGAAGCCGAACTATGGAACCAGGAACGGAGGAAGAAAAGAAGGAGAAGAGGAGAGGCGGAGCCTTGCCAACACTGCCAGCCAGAAGCTCACGGACGGACGAAGCCCGCAGAAGCTCACGGAAGACGAAGCTTTGTGGGAGGGACGGTCGGAGAAGCTCGTAGGACGACCGAATCCTTGCGAAACTAGGATCTAGCGGGACCTCTTTAGGCCCCAGCTCACGCGAAAAGAAGCCGAAGCCTCCTATTTACGTGGTCCGACCAGATAGATTCGAACAAGCAATTAGGTAGGCGACCTGATTGCGATTAGGTTCAAAACCTAATCAAAACCAAATTTTTTTAATATAAGCATTTATTGCTGATATAATTAAAACAACCTTCATTGCCGATAAAAGTGCATAAAAATAGGCCTTTAAAAGTAGTCTTTATTACTACTTATTGCAAATGTTTGAAGAAAATTCATCCCAAAGCTGTGATCAAATAGAAGATTCTATGATACGCCACGAACGAGGTGACCTCCAAAGCATACAACCTTCCAATCGCCTAAATGGGAAGAATCACTTAAAGTGGCCTCAATTTATGAAGACCTACTTAAAAGGAAAAGGAAAAATATATCACCTCCTTGGAGGAGGACCAAAAAGAGGAGATCCTAATTTTGAGACATGGGATGAAGCAAACTCCATGATTATGTCATGGTTGTGGAATTCCATGATCCTAATTTCCCCCAAAGTTTTGACCAAATGGAGGGCTCTATAGTGCACCAAGGAACTTGATAACTCTATTTTTTGCGACTAATTACCAAGTTGGGAATGACATATATGCATTCCAAAGCTTGAGGGGGAGTGTTAAAATCCAACCATTAAAACGCAAACAAATCCAATGGCTACAGTGGTCAATCTTTGGGGTGCATGACTGAAGACAGAATACCTTCCATATTCGGGTAGCTGATTTAGGAAGGATTATATTAGAGTAGTTCTGTAATTATTTGTTTATATATTAAGATATCTTGTATAGATTTATAAATAGGGAAAAAATCATGGAATAAAACTAAGCGTTTTCCTTCTCAAACCTCTTATTTTCTAACATAAATGATATGGAAAAAGTAAATGATATGTTTTATATAGTATGCTTGCATGTGCATGTTGACAGATGGAGCACACCCCCTTATAGTACTGGTTGGAGACGCAACATATCCATGCAAGTTAATGGAAAAGTAAAGGAAATGAATATGAAAATGATGTGGAACGATCATGCAAAGTTGAATTACTTAAAGAGTTTGCACGCTTAAATGTTAGAAGCCATAATAATTATATCTTCACAATGAATTTTCTAACGACAAAAGAAAACACTAAGAGCGATAAAATAAGCTTAGGCCGAATCACGTGCGTGAAAGTTAAGATCAGAAAACAATCAAGTTTATCTAACGTTGCATACATGAATGATTTCAACAATAAATCCCTATGCTAACAATAAGATTAGTACTATGAAATGACCATCACACATTTCTACTAAACACTAAGCTTTAGCGGAGAATAATTGACATGATCGTCATAAATCACATTAAAACTATATTTGATGAGTAAACTAAGGATATAAGAGAATTGGAGGGGAGTTTACCCAAATAATCAGAAAATACGTAGTTCCCGCGATTGTAGGAAGACTTGGAGGAAGAGGAGGCTTTCAAGAACCTTCCTGAAGGTGTGTTCAGCGGTCTGGAATGTCCGAACAGTGTTTGAAAACCTTCTAGCGGACTGGACAGCAATAAAACATGTTCCAAATCTGCTAAACAGCAAGTTTCAGGTGCTTGAAATGCGAAACAGCAGCCAAGAGAAGTCTGGATAGCAATGGGTTGAATTCTAGGGCTGGCCAGCTAGTGCGGAACTGCAGAAATCTGCTGGACAGCAGTTTACCAACATGCGGAATTCTGGACAGCAATCTCGTTCAGGAAATACATCAGGTTTTCGTGATCAGTTGGAGGGAATGGAGTGGTGTAAGGGATTAGGAGTTCCCTTGCAGCTCTCTCCTCCTCTAGAATTAATTTTGAGAGCTAGGGCGAGACGTATACGGTTAGAGAAGGGGAGATGAAGTTTTAGTAAATCTGAACTTAATTTCAGATTAGGTGAATTCGGAGGAAAAGAATTTGAATTTTGAATTCAAACTCTCATTGAAAGGAATAAAGTGTGAGGGAGGAATTGTGGGAGATAATGAGGGAGTATTAATAGAGAACAATTAATGAAAATTGGAGAGAGAAAGCATGGGAAAGGGCGGCCGGCGATGTAGAGAAGGATGGGAAAGCGTTTAGGTTCGATGTATGTGGTCCCCATGCAATCAATTTAATTATATGATTAAATCTGAATTAATTCCAGATTTGAGAGATTGAATGGGTTTCCAAAAATAGGATTCATTAATATGGGTTAATTTGAAATTCAAATAAGTTTGAATTCAAATCAACAAGTTTCCATATTAATAGAAAGATATTTTAGGAAAGTAATTAAGGGGGATTTGAATTTTGAAATTCAAAATCCATGAGGGATTTGGAGAGGATTAAATTTGATATTTTGATTTCAAATGCAAAGAGGGTGAGGGGAGATTTTGTGGAGGGATTTAATAGCTTCCAAAATAAGCTATGTAAATTAGGAAAGGAATTACCATATCCAATCTAATTGAAATTCAAATTAGATTGAGACTTATTCAATTTCCTAATTTGGAATTCCAAATAAGGAAAGTATTTGAAATTCGAAATTTGAATTTCAAATAATTCGAATCATTTCCATTTTTGCTTGATTTAATTTAGGAAGGCACTTATGATGGGGGAAATCATCACAATGATGGGGATTTTGGATTGGACCGGCGGCAAGGAGGGGAAAGGGGGAAAATCGAACGGGTGGAGGGGAAGGGGCCTTGGACCGGCAGGTGAAAATGTGGTTTGGTGGTGGTGTTGACACAAGGAGGAGAGATGGTGATGGGCCGTCGGGTGGGGAGGAAGGAGGGGTGCTCGGGTGGTGAAAATTAGGGAAGAAGAAGAAGAGATAGAGGAAAAACCAAGAGCTCACCCGCAGGGGCTGTTGGGTACTTCAATTGAGCCTCTCCTAGGCTTCACCACTATATCTAGAACTCACAAAGAGATCCAAAAGCAAAAGCTGAATTGTTTTTTCATATCAATCATCATCCCAAAAAAACAAAACAACTGGCCTATAAATAGGCCTCATGAAAAGAAAAGAAATAAAAGACTAAAATGCCCTTCGACTACAATACTATATGACCACCCGTATGAGTATAAAGGGAAAAACAACAATATAAAATAAACTAGTACATAAAACATATAAATAAATAACTCAAGATCGTAGCCGTTGATCTCCGATGTCCTCATCAGAAAAAGCAGTACAATCATTGGTACTAAATTAGACTGTGACTCCTGTGATTTATGTATTATTTATGATAAATGAGAAAAATATGAATATATATATATAATTTATGTAAAATATTGAAAGTCTTGATGAAATGATATGATTAAATATAATTATTTTAAGATGTGAAATGAAAAAGGGATCATGCATATTGTTCCAATTGTCTTAAGTTACTGTAATTTAAAACCATGTTTTACTCACTGAGTTGTTGCTTTAGTTGCTCTAACGTTTTCAAGCAAAATTTACTATAATCAAAATGAATAGAAGAGGTGAAAATGTGTACCGTAGATGTGGCGCACCGGAAGAAAGATATTTGAATGATTTGTTTAAAATTTTAGTGGCTCTTTTATTGCATTATTTTTTAAACTCTTATCTATGATCACACATACATCATTTCTAGTACGACACTTATCAGAAAACTAAATTTTAAATCCTAAACAATCAATCTACTTAGCCTTCTCTCAATCCTATTTAATTTCCTGAATGCATTGAATATTTATCTTCTTATAAATCATAATATCAATTTATTCTATTAATTTGCCTGTAAGGGAACCTACATTCCAAGATCTTATCATAATTCTAATTTCATGGACAAACTTCTTTACCCACATCCGTCCATGATGTGGGAACCCTTGTCTATTTAACACTACATTGAGAGCTAGAGCACTGACCCTTGCACTTTTCTCACTATATTCAGGCCATACAACACGTCGTTTCCAGAGACGTTGCAGCATTAACACAATGTATTAAAGGATTCATGTCATGATTATTCCACAAGTTTTATGCTGGCTCTCGACTACTTAACGTAACCCTCCACTTTTCTTATCTAGGACTTGGGACCTGACAATGATATTGTTAATTATGAAAATTCAAAGGAATAAAAAAAACATGATGTGTATTAGAAGCATTGTAGTTAAATAAATGAAAAAACTTTACAAAATTATTGTGTTAAAGTGAATTGTTTTAAGTTTTTAAATCCTTCCCATTTAGAAATTATGATATGCAAAAGGTTTGTAACACATACTTATGTTTGCCGCATGTAGATCGAAAAGGGTTGTCGTAGTGTGTGATATAAATTACGATCACACCCAAAGCCAAGAAATACTCTACTAACTTCAATTCGTTAAATGGGGGAATCATACAGTACACTTGATACAGCAAAAAGCTCTCTGTCAGCAAAGGTCAACTTGAATTTATCTCTTAGACAAACATTTACCCCATAAAAGTTTCATTGGACGACAAAACTCATGGCTGTCCGTAAGGATTATTCAGTCAAGTTGGGTCAACTCTAGATTAAATATATTATGTTACATAACAATCAGAGATAACGGAATCAAAGGATCTTGATCAGATTCATCCTCATACCCCCTTCCAATATGCTATAAGGTAAGCGTGGTGTATTTTCTCAATCTAAAATCAAATTGTTTCTATTATACACTACACATTCACCTTCTAACAACTAACCTAAATCGAAAGTTATCTCTTATCATCAAGAGGAGTAATTAATAATAGGGTGTTGCAACAATAGGAAACTTGAAACCATATCTTAAAGTCCTAGCAAACTAAGGGGTAAATCACTAGACAGTGTCTTATCTGTAACCCCAACAGCCTATAAAAATTTGACCCGGAACACAAAACTCTCTCAACAAAGCCTGGGCATGAATTTTTAAAGCCCAGTTGTTCATTACTAGGGGTAAGAACGATAGATTTGGAATTGAAGAATTTGCTATGATAACCTGGTTGGTGCATTGATGAACCTCCTAAAAACAGTTTTAAGGAGAAGACCATAACAAAAGGTTAATTGATAACTACATAGGAAGATAAATGTAAATTAGGTCTATGTATTATTGTTTATGGTATTATGTTCAACCATGAAAAGCATTGTGGTGTTTTCACCAAGATGTTAGCATTGGTTGAAGATGACGTATTCTGTCGATGCTTATGTGGAAGGTTATCATAGGAGAACCATTGATAGAGCTAAACAACGATACGCTATACAAAGACTCTCCCTAATAATTTCATTATATGACGAATAAGTTTATTTCCTCCATAGTTAGTCATAACCTTAAAAAACTTTCATCTTAAATATTTATACCAAAATACTTCTCCAATCATTTGACTTCCTTAGCCTTCAAATCCTTTGAATAGATTTGCTAATCAAACTACTGTATTATCCACATAACTCTTCAAATCACAATAAGTATAGCATTTGTACTTAAACCCTTAACATAATGTGGCATTTTTAGAGCCAACTCCACATTTTTGGGTCAATATATCATATACTTTATTAATCACAACAGATCTCTTTTGCTTTTAGTGCTTTTGCAATTCTTTTGCATCATTCTTGTTCACTATCCTCACTTAATTTTGTCCACAAGCACCATTATGATAATTACAATCATGATGTTATATAATGCAACAAAATCAGAAAGATTTCCTTTCCAAAAATTCAGTTTTCACTGGAATGTTTGTTTGATATGGGGTTTTTGTTAGTAAATAAGAAACTAAAAGATTTAGATATACGGAAAATAATATTTTGAAGCAATGATCAAACTGCAGACATGAATTCTCATAGGAGTTAATTGGACCAAGAATGAATGTACTGACATTAAAGATATATTTCTAGATCAACTAAATCCATTTTGGAAAGTACCAGGAAGGCATCCATAATGCATGCAGAACTGGTTTCATTTGTGATGAGATCGCCAACTTGTATTTTTTCAAGAAAACTAAAATAATTGGAATGAATTTCTAAACATAAATCTGTAAGTAGAAACCGATAAATGCGTTGAAATTTGTAATAAGCATTGAAAAAGCATTGGGTGATAAGCTTTTGAGAACCATTGGAGGGAAGCCCCAAAAAATTAAAAAAACTTCAACTTTTAAATTTGTAATGAACGCATTGAAACTAAATATGCTAGTCAAGAATACCTTGATTCATGACCATGAAGAAAAGTGCTACTGTGCAAGAATGTGAAGTTAGATGCAACACGAATAACATCAAGCTTTTATCTTACTATGTGAGGTCAACTACATGAATCATTTTTCTCCATTGTGTCCTATTAAGAATAAAATTCTCAATTAAATCTGATAAAAGAATGTCAAAGAACAAGTAGAATGATGATTGTATGATATGCAATTTTGGTGGAAAAGAAGTGCCAAAATCTACATATTTAGGCATCTTGACCTTACAATATATTATAAGACAATTCCAAATCAAACCAAACTATTGGATGCGGCCAATTAAATATGAAAATATCACATTTCTCCAAAATAGTCCCTCAAGTATACATAATTAATATGAAAAAGTACCAAAATTATGATATAAAATTGAACCTTATTTTGCCACTCGACTATATAAAACTGATCTAAATTTAGTCCTTAGGATATTATTTTGGATCAATTTTGCATAATCAATGCATTAATTATTAGAAAAGTGTGATATACTCTAGGATTAAATTGACCACATATCAATAGAAAGTAAAGCTATAAATTGCACAAAGGATTCTAGTTAAAACAAAGAACAAAATTTACTACAGCAACAAAATTAAAGAAAATAAATAAAAGGACAAGTGTTAATTTAAACTAAGACTTCCAAACTTAACCTGACTTGGGAAAATTTTGGAAATCATAAAATTTTGGAAATCAGATGAAGCAAAAATGAAAATATAAAACTGATGTCAAATAAATTACAAAAGGAATCAAAGATAATTTAAAAATGGAAATACCGGAGATTGTGGGTTAATATGGAAAGTAGGTTAAAATAGATTGAGAAGGTTTAGCATAAACAATTAATAGGAAGGAGGTTAAAGGAGCCAATGGTAAAGTGAAATATAATAAAAAAATGAGGTTGGTAAGACTTGAACATACCAAGAAGTTATCAAATCTCATTGCTTATGAAACTTTAAATAGAATTATTAGAGAAGATTATTCAAAAAGCCAACCACAAATAGTAGTTGAAAGTGACAAATTACTAATTAAGAATGCTTGTAGTAATTAAAGCAAGTCAATTGAGCAAGCTTTCATAAAATTCCCTTGAGACCACATTGAAATGTTCACAAATGGATATAAAAGGTAGGAGATAATCAATAGCTCGCATTCTAAAAGTAACAATGCATATGCACTTTGTAAGAGATAATGCCTCTGATACATGACCACCATCATCTGGGTATTGAGTGAGAATATCACCGGTTCAATACGAATGTGAGCGTGTGTTTTTTTTTTTTTTTGAAGAATAAAATATGAATATCAGGTAAATGTCAAATGCAGGAAAAAAATTAATGAAATAAAGGCTATGAGAGCTAGAAATTTATGATCGAAAATTCTTGACTTGGGAAAGATTGCGGCTAAAACTAGCTCATAAAAGTTAAATTATATTCAGAAAGAAATCTCCAAATTAGTAGAAAAGCCAATACGGATTATATCTTGTCCATCTGTTACCATTCATTGCCAGATTAGCAATAGCACCAGCTGTGAGTCGCTGAATTGTCTCGTCTTTAGATGACTCAAGAAGCAAGAGAAGAGCATCTAACCCTCCTTCTTCAACAATCCTTTGCTGGTTTAAATCTGTAAATCAGAAAATGTGTCTATTAATGAAATGAAACAGAACATTTAAGTTTACTTCAATTTGAATAGTTATATTCAAGTACTATATTAGGAAAATTAACATGGACCGCTCATTTCCAGCAGCATGAAACGGATGGCTCTTTGTGGAATGCAAGGGTTTCATATTGTCAGAACCATAAACAAGAATTTAAAGAATATATGCAATTTTCAGGCTAGGCTTTGGCAATAGATAACCCATAACACTTGTTGAAAGCCAAAACTATGTAGAAAATACTGTCTGAAAATTGGTGAAAGAATTTAACCAAAGTCGAAGGGATAAAACATAACTGGAAAAGCAATAATATTTAACATCAAATATAAAAACATTTGAATGCAGATAACCCAAAATAAATATGAAAGAATAACTAGATATGCAAACTGGTGGTAGGAAGAGTTACAACAAAACTTCATTACCAACAATACCATTGGAAGAATAAAAAATAATAATAATAAAAAAACTGCAATCTGCCGAGTGGGAATTAAAGACTTGGAGCAGAGATCAAGGGCACTAGCCTTGCTTGTTGTATGCCAACCATATTCACACTAAGGTAGTGTATTTGATGGGGACATCAGATCGTGGAAAGTCTATCAGAGACGTGGTTGTTGATCTACGGCCACGATTGAGTCATTATATTTCTGAGTTGTTTTATGTATTTTCTTATTTATGATGTCATATTGTATTTGCTTTCTTATAAAAGGGTACAACAAGAAACTAATAAAGCAAATACAATATGACATCATAAATAAGAAAATACATAAAACAACTTAGAAATACAATGACTCAATCGTGGCGGTAGATCGACGGCAACGTCTCTGATAGACTTTCCACGATCTGTTGTCCCCATCATTCTCCCGGGGTGGGAGAAAGCTCGACTCCGTCGAGTAAGCGTCTTTAGTACTCTCGTAGATCTCTAATACATCGGGGTCAATCTGTTGCAGCTCCTTGCGATCCAACAACGTATCCTCTGATTCGTGCTTTCCTTTCCACCTGATCAAGTACCTCCTTCGTCCACCTTCCCTTGTGGAGATGATATCATCACTCAGGATCGAGTCCACTTTTTCTTCCATGGGTGATTTAGGTATATTTGGTAGTGGAGGTAGGTTTGGGTTCTCACAAGGAGGGGTCACACAAGGATGCTGTATGAGTGGATTTGGTGGGTTAAAATCAAGGCCTTCATATGCAACTAAATATTCTATGTTAAAGGAGGGATTGATGTTGAATATTGCAAGCAAATATACTACATAAGCATTACCATTGATTTTCTTAAGTATTTTGAATGGTCCAGCGTTCTTAGCATGCAGCTTCTTAACTGTTCCCTGCAGGAATCATTCCAAACGAATCCGCACCATTTTTGGAATTACCAACCTCAAAAGTTTTAAATTTTCGTTTCAAATCAGCATATAGTTTGTAATCATTATTGCTCTTTTCAATTTGTCATGCAATTTTTTTATGAAGTTCATGCAAATATGATGCAAATGATGATGCAGACTCATAAATTCTATACCTAGAACACATGGGTATAAGGACTAGCGGCTGTCTACGTTTGAACCCGTATACAATGTCAGAATGACTTAGGCCAATGGTTCGGTTTATAGAATTACTATAAGCAAACTCAGCATTAGGCAAAATGGAATCCCAGTCCTTAATTTGCTCTACAACCAAAGATCGCAACAAGTTACCCAAACTCCTATTAACTACCTCGGTCTGACCATCAGTCTGTGGGTGAAAGGCAGTGGAAAATTGCAATTTAGTGGCCATTTTCATCCAAGGGGTTTTCCAAAAATAGCAAGTGAATTTCACATCCCAATCTGAAACGATGGTTTTGGGTAAGCCACGTAAACGGACGACCTCGTTGAAATAGAGTTTGGCAATGTGAGATGCGTCGGGCGTTTTGGAGCAAGGTAAGAAATGAGCCATTTTAGAAAATAGATCTACAACAATACAAATGGCGTCATTCCTTCGGATAGTTTTGGGCAGGCCTAGGATAAAATCCATGCTAACATCCTGCCAAAGACAACTAGGGACAGGCAGTGGAGTGTACAAACCCGTATTTTTTTTTGCGTTGCTTGGCCAGTTGGCAGGTGGGACACCTCTGACCATCCGAGCAAGATCTCTCTTCAAGTGGGCCAATAAAACAGTACTACACGACTTCAATAGTTTTGTCCCGACCGAAGTGCCCAGCGAGGCCTTCGGCGTGGAGTTCACAGACAACAAATTCCCTAAGGGAGATGCTAGGAATGAAAAGCTTTTGGGCTTTGAAAAGATAATCATCCTCTAATAGGAAATTGTCCACAAGGCCTGTGGACAAGAGAGAGCAGATCTCCTTGAAGTTGGGGCATTCCAAATAGTCCCTCTTTATTTGGTCAAATCCGACGACTTCAGCTCTCATCTCAGTGGTAGTCATCATAAAACGACTGAGAGCATCAACAGCTCTCAACTCCTGCTTATGTCTAAGGATATAAGTATACTCCTGAAGTACCTCTACCCAACGACCGTAGTGTGCATTTAATTTCATTTATGAGTTGATATAACACAGAGCTTCGTGATCCGAGAAAATGACGAACTCTTGCGGGAGCAAGTAGTGTCGCCAATAACAAAGAGATTGGATCAATGCGTAAAACTCTTTGTCATACGTGGAATAACGCTGTCGAATGTCATTTAGCATTTCACTAAAATTGGTTATTGGGTGACCTTCCTGGGAGAGGACTCCTCCAATTTCGACCCCCGAAGCGTCGCAGGTTACTTCAAAGACTTTGGAGAAATTAGGAAGTCTCATCACTGGGGCTTCCACCATCTTTTTCTTAATCTCATCAAAAGCTCTGGTGGCTGCCGGGGTCCAGTGGAAATCATCCTTCTTCAGACAATCAGTGATAGGAGATACGATAGTGCTAAAACTTTGAATGAATCTCCTATAGAAGGTGGCTAATCCGTGGAAGTTGTGGACTTCCCAGATGTTCTGAGGGACAGACCATTCAATAATGGCTCTCACCTTCTAGAGGTCTACAAAAACCACTTGGGCTGAAAGTATGAAGCCCAAAAAGATGATGCGATCTAAAAGGAAGGTACATTTCTTAGGATTGGCATACAGTTGCTCCTTCCTTAATACCTTACAAACTTGTCTTAAGTAGTCCAAGTGTTGGCTAACCGACTGGCTGTAAATAAGAATGTCGTCAAAGTAGACGACGACAAACTTTTCCATAAACGAGCACATCACTTGATTCATGATCCTCATGAAGGTACTCGGGACGTGATGCAATCATAATTTATGTATTTTCATTTCCGAATATTGAACATTAGTTTTTAATTTAGTTTTATAATTTCTTTAGCTATCCAATGATGGGAAAGCATCCAATGATCATGGTAGGTTGTGCTTGGGCTTTGGCAGGCCTTTGGTTTGCTAGCTTGATATGGGTCCTTGGGCTGCTGCTGGTTCTCAGGTTGGCTTATGGTTCTCGGTTTGAGTTTTTCTCTCTAAGTTGTTAGCTCATTAATGTTGAGCTGAAGTTTTAGTTTATTTATTGGGGGAAATTTATTAAACTACCTAGCTCATTAATCTAAAAATGTATGCTCATAAGCCTTGGATTCATTTTGGAGTGGACTTGTCTTTTCTCCTCCCCTTTTCTTCTCATTCCCCTGAGCTAGGTGATTTGTCGTGTTCTGACCCTTGGGTTTCTGAGAATGGCTGTTGGTTTCCTGTGCTGGGAGGTTTTCCCATGCCTTTGTGGTTCCCGTGGTTGGCTGTTCGGTTTTGCAGTTCCCTGCTGGGCTGTTCGGTTTTGCGGTTTCTTGCTTGGTTCCGTGGATTTTCTTTCTCTGTTTCGCTGCACTGTTTGGGATTTGTTATTGTGGTTGTTGGCCTTTCATTTCCCTTAATATTATTGGCTTATTGGGTGGTGCTTTGGCTGTTGTGTTCTCCTCTCTTGCCTATATATTGAAGATGTTTTTTGTGGGGAAAGGTTGTTGAAAATTGTTGAGCATTATCTCTAAAAAAAACTAAGGGTTTTCTCTTCTTGGAAAAGCTTGAGAGCTTTGTCCACTACTTCCTCCCCTCTATTTCGTCTAGGCTTCTTACCTCTTTCTTCTCTATGCAAGTTCCACTCCATTTGTATCCTTCTTCTTCAGCTGAGATGATGTTTGTTGGTTGATTTGGGAGCATTTGCTGGAGGAGTTTGGTTTGGACGTTTGGACTATCTTGCTGTGGTGGACCATCGGTTTGCTAGCCCTAAGCACATATTTTACTTAACCTACATTTCGAAGCATGTGAGGAAACCGTTCTGCCAGTTGTTCTGAGGATAGCGACGTTTTAATTTTCTTTTGTTTCTTTTGATCTCTCTTCTAGTTTATTCGTCGATTTTTATGCTTATAGATGATTGCTACTATTTGAATCGAGTTTGTAACTTTGCCCATCGTTCTCCTTGTTTGACTTTTCTATTTAGTGCGCTTACATCAAGTTTGGTATCAGAGCAAGTTCTCATCCTTGGTTGGTTTGATTTTTATTGGCTTTGTTTGGTGGGTCTTTTCTAATTTCTAAAATGGCTAATAATCCGGGGGATTGACAAAATCTTATGCAACAACTGAATAATTTGCAACAACAAATTAATACCATGGCTAAAGCAATTAAGAACTTGAATGTTAACAACGTTAATGCTAATCCTAATGTTCAAACTTCTGAAAGTGAAAATGAGGTTCCTAGAAATCAACGTAGGCAACAAAGAAATTTGGACTACATAATTAAAATTGATGTTCCTAACTTTGAGTGTGAGCTACATCCCGATCAATTTCTTGAATGGGTAGAAAAGATTGATCAATTTTTTGAGTGAAAAGAAATACCTGATAATAGGAAAGTTTGCTTTGCTAGCTTAAAACTTTATGATCATGCCTTAACCTGGGGGAAAAACTTTCAAAATAATAGACCTAGGAGAGGGAAAGAAAAAGTCCAAAACTGGGAAAGAATGAAAGA